TTTGAGAGGGTGGGGTTGGGGTTGCGCCACCCCATGGCGCTTCCCAAATCCCCAACCCCCCTCCCCACTGGCCGCCATGTGGCCTCAAAGCCGCGCGGCCGCGGACACGTCCGGGGGGTCGCGGACCTGGCCGCGGCCGTGGACTTGGCCGCACTTGGCCGCCGCCGAGGGAGATTCATAGGTCCACTACGATCACAGACGGGCTATGTATCACCCGCGGCCGTGACCGCGGGCCATTTGACCACACGCGGTCGGCATCCCGACCGCAGCGGGCGGCGCCCGCGGCCAAGTGCGGTCGGAAAACCCCGACATTTTTAAATCCTGCGATAATACGCCAAAAAATAAAATAAAAATATGTGGTTGTAGGTTTTTGCACGCTCTACAACCGTATATTTTTCGTTTTATTTTTTGACTTTTTTTTCGATTTAAAAATAAAAATAAAAAACAGAAATCCCTCAGGCAAAAGTTCTTCACTTTATTCTTTTACTAAGAAAAATAAAGGATTTTGTTTGATTTTTATCTCAAATGAGGTAACGAGTTTTGATATGACCCCAAGGCAAAAGTTGTTCATTTTATTTTTGGGCATAACATATATTGTTTTCAGATTTTTCTGAATTCGTTTTGTTTTTTCTTTTTTTTTTTCATGACCGCGGACCGCGGTTATGACCGCGGCCTCGCGGCCGAGACCGGGGTCCGTGGTCGTGCCTGCGGCGGCCGCGGGGGATTCATAGCAGACGGGTTTGTGGTGCGCATGCACCTCCCCCGCGCTCCGAACTTGACAACAAATATAAAAAAAGTAAACTAAAGAAGACTATTGCCCTGCGTAGTGTCTACGTGGCGACCCCATTCGCGAGGTTACTAACTTACTATCAGTCGAAGCATCTGCCGCACTGCGTGCTCGCACTGCACGGCTTGCCCCGCCGAACCCCTAATGTTGCAGCACGCCCTGCGCACGTGTCAGTGGGTGCTCGTGAAGAGAACCATCTAGGTGGCGCCTTTTATGATCCGCACACGTGGATAGTGACACGTTTACTAATCACAACGCAACACGCACCCATCCACAACACTTGTGCCTCACGCCTCGCCACCTCTACCGTCCCCCCACCTCATTTGGAGATCGAAGAGCCTCCCCATGCAGGACGACCGCCCCGATTGATTGACCTTCCATATGAACTTGCGTGTCACTTGCGGCTTGCCCTCACCGGAGTCACCGCCATCTTCACCCGTTGGAGGACCGCTGCCGATCCAGTCATGTTTTGTGGGGCGTCAACTGCATTCTTCAGGGTGGAGTTGTGATCGCACACCAACCCGCAATCAACCCATTCTAGGATGCAATCCGGGTACTCTCCTAGTGTGAGGTGGGGCTTCCCGAGGTGATCCAACACGAGGTTAGCATTATCAATGATGTGTCTTCACGGTCAGTGATGAGTATAATCCTGCCTCATAGTGTGAACGATCGTCATAGCCACCCATGTGCATGATCCACATGCACGCGCTCAACAAAAACCCTCAGACAATCTATAAGCCCCGTTAACCTCTCTTCAAGTCTCTTGTTTCAAACGGTCGTCGTCCGCCCATTGTCTGCACCAAAGTGCACCTGTCCAGCACTCCACGTGAAGAACTGGCGCGTCCTATTTTGTCGCCATGTGGCCCATGTCATCATCTTCAGGTTTATCCACATTTTTCACCCCCGCGAACCAAAGAGGCACGTCCATCTTTATCTGCGGCATGTAGTAAATGAGGGATGGGGAAACCACTCTCGACTATTCTAACCCCTGCCAAACAGCTCATGCGACGTTGGTGGCGTAGTCGACGGTGATGTACGACTCTGCGCGAGCGAAGCCATTCGACCTCGACGACGATTTGAAGATCCAGTTATGGATGGTGCACATTACTAGTTTCTCCACGATGCGCACTTTGCGCAAAGCCGGTTCATGCTGCACAGGATCGTCAATCTTGAAGCGTGGCACATCGTTCGGCGGCATTATGAGCATGGACGGTGGTTCGACTCTTGTGTCTAAGTTGGCAATGACGATGAAGTCGTCGGTGCAATCGCCAATCACCTCCCTCAGCGGTTTTTCGGGGCCTTGTCCCCAAAAAGTGTCGCAATCAACCCACAGCTTCGACCTCTCCTCCAGATTAACCTCCTTTGCAGTTCTCTTCCGCCTGTTGGCAAGGGGTCGGTCGTCGACATCATTGCCTTCCCGTCGTCCATCTCTTTTACCATCTTCGCGGCGCACGTCATCGACACCCCCTCTACCACACCTTCCGCGACTCCACTTACAGAAGTGTGATGATCTCCCAATGCCGTCCAACTGCTGCCTACGTCCACTTTCTTGTGCGGGGGCGGTGTTATCGCCGCGCTTGAGCCCCCCCCCTGTTGCACGGGGAGTGCCTTACGTGCATGGACTGCCCCATCACACAACCTTGTCAAGTCGGCCGCCCCCAGCGACCGGGACGATCGGTGCGCGAACGCCGCTTGCCTTCGCCTCACCCATTGCCTCTGCGTGCGTGCCTCGGTGATGATAATCCCTTGCGCCTTGTGTGTCCTAGGTGACGCTCCGGCGGCACCACCAATGGGGCAATACAACTTGTCTCAATGCAGCCAGTTGATCCCTCAACATCTTGTCCCTCCCAAGACCCAATCGTTGGCTTCACGGCGTCCCTTGCGCTTCCACCACCGCCACAGTCGCCACTTCCTCTGATTGGAAGTCAAATTCATTCTCCGAGCTCGCCTCATCAATGTGCAGCCTTTTCGACTTGGGCACGTGGCCTCGACCTTTATGGCCTCCCCCCCCTCGCCAGGACCGCTATCTCTCCTGCCCTTTTTTGTTACACCCCACGATGCCATGTGGATCCAACTTCAGTCCCCCGCCACGTGGCCGATGGAGGCGTGCTGTTGTGCGAAACGAACGTGCACGTGAACGTCGACGTTCGACAGCTGACGGAAAGGAAGGACGTGGACGGCGCGTATGACGGGGCACAGAGGAGGTTCGACGACGACAACCAGAATTGTCCACCAAAAAGCAAGAGCAGACAACGTGGAGGTGCGGAGCGTCGAACGGGATGCGGAGGCGTACGGCGAGAGGGCAATGCACACGAGGCAGCTCTTGAGTCGCCGCAATGGAAGGACTGCGGTGCGGAATGGCATCCAGACTCTTCTTTTGTACCGTGTTCAGTCTCTCAACACACCATGGAAGCGCCTCGTTGTACCAGAAGCCCGCCCCTTCGTTGATCGTCCGCAGACCAGTTTTCCCCGCCCAACGGAGGTCATCCCTGGGCCTCCATTGGTCCGAAATTAAATGTTGGCGTGCAGGTGGACCCCGCCGGAGCTCAAAAGGGCCTGCCACCCACCCCTGCACTAGTGCACTGCCACCCCTGAAAACACCCAACGCCCATATCACCCCCTCCCCCCCCTCCGCCATGGGCTTCAGGTACTTCAAGGCGCATCCATGGGTTCCAGGTACGGCGAGGAGCATCCCCT